TTCTTCTTCTTCTTCTTCTTCTTCTTCTTCTTCTTCTTCTTCTTCTTCTTCTTCTTCTTCTTCTTCTTCTTCTTCTTCTTCTTCTTCTTCTTCTTCTTCTTCTTCTTCTTCTTCTTCTTCTTCTTCTTCTTCTTCTTCTTCTTCTTCTTCTTCTTCTTCTTCTTCTTCTTCTTCTTCTTCTTCTTCTTCTTCTTCTTCTTCTTCTTCTTCTTCTTCTTCTTCTTCTTCTTCTTCTTCTTCTTCTTCTTCTTCTTCTTCTTCTTCTTCTTCTTCTTCTTCTTCTTCTTCTTCTTCTTCTTCTTCTTCTTCTTCTTCTTCTTCTTCTTCTTCTTCTTCTTCTTCTTCTTCTTCTTCTTCTTCTTCTTCTTCTTCTTCTTCTTCTTCTTCTTCTTCTTCTTCTTCTTCTTCTTCTTCTTCTTCTTCTTCTTCTTCTTCTTCTTCTTCTTCTTCTTCTTCTTCTTCTTCTTCTTCTTCTTCTTCTTCTTCTTCTTCTTCTTCTTCTTCTTCTTCTTCTTCTTCTTCTTCTTCTTCTTCTTCTTCTTCTTCTTCTTCTTCTTCTTCTTCTTCTTCTTCTTCTTCTTCTTCTTCTTCTTCTTCTTCTTCTTCTTCTTCTTCTTCTTCTTCTTCTTCTTCTTCTTCTTCTTCTTCTTCTTCTTCTTCTTCTTCTTCTTCTTCTTCTTCTTCTTCTTCTTCTTCTTCTTCTTCTTCTTCTTCTTCTTCTTCTTCTTCTTCTTCTTCTTCTTCTTCTTCTTCTTCTTCTTCTTCTTCTTCTTCTTCTTCTTCTTCTTCTTCTTCTTCTTCTTCTTCTTCTTCTTCTTCTTCTTCTTCTTCTTCTTCTTCTTCTTCTTCTTCTTCTTCTTCTTCTTCTTCTTCTTCTTCTTCTTCTTCTTCTTCTTCTTCTTCTTCTTCTTCTTCTTCTTCTTCTTCTTCTTCTTCTTCTTCTTCTTCTTCTTCTTCTTCTTCTTCTTCTTCTTCTTCTTCTTCTTCTTCTTCTTCTTCTTCTTCTTCTTCTTCTTCTTCTTCTTCTTCTTCTTCTTCTTCTTCTTCTTCTTCTTCTTCTTCTTCTTCTTCTTCTTCTTCTTCTTCTTCTTCTTCTTCTTCTTCTTCTTCTTCTTCTTCTTCTTCTTCTTCTTCTTCTTCTTCTTCTTCTTCTTCTTCTTCTTCTTCTTCTTCTTCTTCTTCTTCTTCTTCTTCTTCTTCTTCTTCTTCTTCTTCTTCTTCTTCTTCTTCTTCTTCTTCTTCTTCTTCTTCTTCTTCTTCTTCTTCTTCTTCTTCTTCTTCTTCTTCTTCTTCTTCTTCTTCTTCTTCTTCTTCTTCTTCTTCTTCTTCTTCTTCTTCTTCTTCTTCTTCTTCTTCTTCTTCTTCTTCTTCTTCTTCTTCTTCTTCTTCTTCTTCTTCTTCTTCTTCTTCTTCTTCTTCTTCTTCTTCTTCTTCTTCTTCTTCTTCTTCTTCTTCTTCTTCTTCTTCTTCTTCTTCTTCTTCTTCTTCTTCTTCTTCTTCTTCTTCTTCTTCTTCTTCTTCTTCTTCTTCTTCTTCTTCTTCTTCTTCTTCTTCTTCTTCTTCTTCTTCTTCTTCTTCTTCTTCTTCTTCTTCTTCTTCTTCTTCTTCTTCTTCTTCTTCTTCTTCTTCTTCTTCTTCTTCTTCTTCTTCTTCTTCTTCTTCTTCTTCTTCTTCTTCTTCTTCTTCTTCTTCTTCTTCTTCTTCTTCTTCTTCTTCTTCTTCTTCTTCTTCTTCTTCTTCTTCTTCTTCTTCTTCTTCTTCTTCTTCTTCTTCTTCTTCTTCTTCTTCTTCTTCTTCTTCTTCTTCTTCTTCTTCTTCTTCTTCTTCTTCTTCTTCTTCTTCTTCTTCTTCTTCTTCTTCTTCTTCTTCTTCTTCTTCTTCTTCTTCTTCTTCTTCTTCTTCTTCTTCTTCTTCTTCTTCTTCTTCTTCTTCTTCTTCTTCTTCTTCTTCTTCTTCTTCTTCTTCTTCTTCTTCTTCTTCTTCTTCTTCTTCTTCTTCTTCTTCTTCTTCTTCTTCTTCTTCTTCTTCTTCTTCTTCTTCTTCTTCTTCTTCTTCTTCTTCTTCTTCTTCTTCTTCTTCTTCTTCTTCTTCTTCTTCTTCTTCTTCTTCTTCTTCTTCTTCTTCTTCTTCTTCTTCTTCTTCTTCTTCTTCTTCTTCTTCTTCTTCTTCTTCTTCTTCTTCTTCTTCTTCTTCTTCTTCTTCTTCTTCTTCTTCTTCTTCTTCTTCTTCTTCTTCTTCTTCTTCTTCTTCTTCTTCTTCTTCTTCTTCTTCTTCTTCTTCTTCTTCTTCTTCTTCTTCTTCTTCTTCTTCTTCTTCTTCTTCTTCTTCTTCTTCTTCTTCTTCTTCTTCTTCTTCTTCTTCTTCTTCTTCTTCTTCTTCTTCTTCTTCTTCTTCTTCTTCTTCTTCTTCTTCTTCTTCTTCTTCTTCTTCTTCTTCTTCTTCTTCTTCTTCTTCTTCTTCTTCTTCTTCTTCTTCTTCTTCTTCTTCTTCTTCTTCTTCTTCTTCTTCTTCTTCTTCTTCTTCTTCTTCTTCTTCTTCTTCTTCTTCTTCTTCTTCTTCTTCTTCTTCTTCTTCTTCTTCTTCTTCTTCTTCTTCTTCTTCTTCTTCTTCTTCTTCTTCTTCTTCTTCTTCTTCTTCTTCTTCTTCTTCTTCTTCTTCTTCTTCTTCTTCTTCTTCTTCTTCTTCTTCTTCTTCTTCTTCTTCTTCTTCTTCTTCTTCTTCTTCTTCTTCTTCTTCTTCTTCTTCTTCTTCTTCTTCTTCTTCTTCTTCTTCTTCTTCTTCTTCTTCTTCTTCTTCTTCTTCTTCTTCTTCTTCTTCTTCTTCTTCTTCTTCTTCTTCTTCTTCTTCTTCTTCTTCTTCTTCTTCTTCTTCTTCTTCTTCTTCTTCTTCTTCTTCTTCTTCTTCTTCTTCTTCTTCTTCTTCTTCTTCTTCTTCTTCTTCTTCTTCTTCTTCTTCTTCTTCTTCTTCTTCTTCTTCTTCTTCTTCTTCTTCTTCTTCTTCTTCTTCTTCTTCTTCTTCTTCTTCTTCTTCTTCTTCTTCTTCTTCTTCTTCTTCTTCTTCTTCTTCTTCTTCTTCTTCTTCTTCTTCTTCTTCTTCTTCTTCTTCTTCTTCTTCTTCTTCTTCTTCTTCTTCTTCTTCTTCTTCTTCTTCTTCTTCTTCTTCTTCTTCTTCTTCTTCTTCTTCTTCTTCTTCTTCTTCTTCTTCTTCTTCTTCTTCTTCTTCTTCTTCTTCTTCTTCTTCTTCTTCTTCTTCTTCTTCTTCTTCTTCTTCTTCTTCTTCTTCTTCTTCTTCTTCTTCTTCTTCTTCTTCTTCTTCTTCTTCTTCTTCTTCTTCTTCTTCTTCTTCTTCTTCTTCTTCTTCTTCTTCTTCTTCTTCTTCTTCTTCTTCTTCTTCTTCTTCTTCTTCTTCTTCTTCTTCTTCTTCTTCTTCTTCTTCTTCTTCTTCTTCTTCTTCTTCTTCTTCTTCTTCTTCTTCTTCTTCTTCTTCTTCTTCTTCTTCTTCTTCTTCTTCTTCTTCTTCTTCTTCTTCTTCTTCTTCTTCTTCTTCTTCTTCTTCTTCTTCTTCTTCTTCTTCTTCTTCTTCTTCTTCTTCTTCTTCTTCTTCTTCTTCTTCTTCTTCTTCTTCTTCTTCTTCTTCTTCTTCTTCTTCTTCTTCTTCTTCTTCTTCTTCTTCTTCTTCTTCTTCTTCTTCTTCTTCTTCTTCTTCTTCTTCTTCTTCTTCTTCTTCTTCTTCTTCTTCTTCTTCTTCTTCTTCTTCTTCTTCTTCTTCTTCTTCTTCTTCTTCTTCTTCTTCTTCTTCTTCTTCTTCTTCTTCTTCTTCTTCTTCTTCTTCTTCTTCTTCTTCTTCTTCTTCTTCTTCTTCTTCTTCTTCTTCTTCTTCTTCTTCTTCTTCTTCTTCTTCTTCTTCTTCTTCTTCTTCTTCTTCTTCTTCTTCTTCTTCTTCTTCTTCTTCTTCTTCTTCTTCTTCTTCTTCTTCTTCTTCTTCTTCTTCTTCTTCTTCTTCTTCTTCTTCTTCTTCTTCTTCTTCTTCTTCTTCTTCTTCTTCTTCTTCTTCTTCTTCTTCTTCTTCTTCTTCTTCTTCTTCTTCTTCTTCTTCTTCTTCTTCTTCTTCTTCTTCTTCTTCTTCTTCTTCTTCTTCTTCTTCTTCTTCTTCTTCTTCTTCTTCTTCTTCTTCTTCTTCTTCTTCTTCTTCTTCTTCTTCTTCTTCTTCTTCTTCTTCTTCTTCTTCTTCTTCTTCTTCTTCTTCTTCTTCTTCTTCTTCTTCTTCTTCTTCTTCTTCTTCTTCTTCTTCTTCTTCTTCTTCTTCTTCTTCTTCTTCTTCTTCTTCTTCTTCTTCTTCTTCTTCTTCTTCTTCTTCTTCTTCTTCTTCTTCTTCTTCTTCTTCTTCTTCTTCTTCTTCTTCTTCTTCTTCTTCTTCTTCTTCTTCTTCTTCTTCTTCTTCTTCTTCTTCTTCTTCTTCTTCTTCTTCTTCTTCTTCTTCTTCTTCTTCTTCTTCTTCTTCTTCTTCTTCTTCTTCTTCTTCTTCTTCTTCTTCTTCTTCTTCTTCTTCTTCTTCTTCTTCTTCTTCTTCTTCTTCTTCTTCTTCTTCTTCTTCTTCTTCTTCTTCTTCTTCTTCTTCTTCTTCTTCTTCTTCTTCTTCTTCTTCTTGCTTCTTCTTCTTCTTCTTCTTCTTCTTCTTCTTCTTCTTCTTCTTCTTCTTCTTCTTCTTCTTCTTCTTCTTCTTCTTCTTCTTCTTCTTCTTCTTCTTCCTTCTTCTTCTTCTTCTTCTTCTTCTTCTTCTTCTTCTTCTTCTTCTTCTTCTTCTTCTTCTTCTTCTTCTTCTTCTTCTTCTTCTTCTTCTTCTTCTTCTTCTTCTTCTTCTTCTTCTTCTTCTTCTTCTTCTTCTTTACTTCTTCTTCTTCTTCTTCTTCTTCTTCTTCTTCTTCTAACCTTCTTCTTCTTCTTCTTCTTCTTCTTCTTCTTCTTCTTCTTCTTCTTCTTCTTCTTCTTCTAACTTCTTCTAACTCTAAACCCAACTCTAACCCACTTTGTGTTTACTTACCTTTCTGGGATCATATCTCTTCTTCAATCCTGCGATCTTCAAAGAGGTCACTGTTGAGGAAGGTTTCAGGGCATTCTACTTTTCTTGTAACCTTTCTTCCTGGTTGTGTCTTCTGTTTACACACCTACAAGTCTGATAATTTCCTCCTTCACTCTCTGGCATGTGTTCTGTTAAGAAAAATATAATCAAATTAGAAAACTCAATAACTATCAAATGCACATGCAGTAGCCCAAGCTCCTGTTTGTCTTGATTTTATTTGGGGTGTCCAGTGGGACAGTTTCTACAATGGCTGCTTTTACACTAGCATTGACAGTTTTGGGGAAGACAGCACAGATGAACATACGAACTCAGTGTTACTTCATCAAATGTACCTGAGCAGAGGACAGGGAAGGGAAGGGCATGAGAAGGGGGAGGAGAAGGCAGAGGTCAAGGGGCCAGATAGGGAAAGGACACAAGGAAACTTAGGAGGAAATGACAGATGGAAGTAGGGGAAAGAGGAGGCAGGGGGAAAGGAGACGGGAGGAGTGAAGGATTAATGCCAGTTACAGGTGCGGGGGCGGCTGTAATTTGAGAATAGGATAAGGCAAATTATTCAAAAAACATACCAGCTTCAAATGCCAGTTAGCCAGCACATTAAGAGTTGCATGGCAAAGCCAACTTCATCTTCCAAATTAGTTTAATGCTACAAACTTACAAAAAAGAGTACTGCAGAACCCCTGAGGAACAAGAACAGCCTGGGTGTGGGTGGAGGACCTCTGAGCCCCCTTTACCCCTGGGTGCATCTATGGTAAAGTACACATGGCCTTGGTTTAGCCAAGAATGCTCACCATACCAGGAAGGGCAAGGGACAAAAAGGTGACTCCTTACCCATCTGACCACAGGGACCCTGTCGGGTCAGCCTACGGGCAAAAAAGTGTAGCCAAGGCCTTTCTCACATATCTAGATAGGTGGCAGGCATCAGCCCCTCTCCTCACTAACTGCTGAGGTCTTGTCTTCAGTGAAGACTCTCCCTGTCATTCCATCAGCATTCCAGTGTGGAAAGATAAAAAACCTGCCATGGAGCTCCTGTGACAAAAGACATCAGAGGTGCAGTGAAAGCTTGGTCCTTAAATATCCCCCTCTCCAACAACAGTGACCAAGAAAACAAGCAATGCTCTCAGACACCACCTACCTACAATGGGAACAGCAGATGTGGTGGCTCATCACACCATCCCTTAACTTGGCATTTCATCTCCCTGGCTCTTGCGGACATCAGGGCCACAAGAGTTTAGTACTCAGAATAAACTAACAAAGATGCAAAAAAGATGGCAGCATAAATATATACCTTGTTGCTCTTTAATGTCAATTACAATTTGAATAGAATATAATATTATACTGACATGATGCTTCTAAGCTTATTTTAGCAATAGTGAGCTGCCTTAGAAGGAAAAATGTCTGTGGTGTATAATGCTGACAACGTGACCTTGAAAGGGCTAAAAGAAAACCCACAAACATATATGTTACACATTCTAAGCCATAATCACATTTACACACACACACAACAGACATGTTTTTAAATTTAAATCTATGTTAACAATATATGGCATCTCAATATATGTCATGGCAATACTTCAAGATGAGCGGCAAATGAATCAAAACTGTATCATGGCCGGGCAGTGGTGATGCACGCCTTTATTCCCAGCACTAGGGAGGCAGAGGCAGGTGGATCTATGTGAGTTCGAGACCACCATAGTATATAAGAACTAGATCCAGGACAGCATCCAAAGCCACAGAGAAACCATGTCTCAAAAAGCAAAAAAAAAAACAAACAAAAAACAAAAACAAAAAAAAACTGCATCATGAAGAAGCAGGATATTGAAAACTATACATATCCATAGTACAACAAGCTATGTTTTTAAATACACAGTTGATTACTGATTATTCTATTTTATTATATCTCTAACAGACAGATGTAAAATGTAAACAATTCTTTGGATAGACACATGAAGTATTTTCTTACCTTCTTAAGCATGTTAATATTAACATTGTTGAAACATGTCAACAAAGGAGCACACATCAGGGGTACATCATCTACCCTTGGTCTTGAACTCATGAGGATGAAACATGAGACATAGGAGTTCAAAGGTAGCCATGACAAAGTACTGACATCCAAACCAGGATGGATAACAAACAATGACGTCTGAAGGGAATTTGTGGAAACATAAAAAAAAACAGGAACAAGAAGCCATCAACCTTTCACAGACCTTTATGTGAAAAGTATAACACTACCTAATAGTTAAGTAAACAATGATCCACTTAGATAATAATCAACCCATTCTATACATTTCAGTAAAAAAATTGCCTATCATCAAGTGAAAGCACAACAGAAGATGAACAGAGTCAAAGAAGGAATTTCTGAACCAGCAGATAAACTGAAGGAATACATGAACTAGCAAATAAACTTCAGTATGTGGATTTGCCACATATACAGGACATTTTAATACCTCATACAAAACTTTCAAAATCAGAAACTACAATGCTGTGATCTCTGCCATCATACTTGAATGAAATAGATGAAACAGATTCTTTCCATTGAAACTGAAGTCAACTGTGATATGTAAATTCTTTACCATATTGTTTACATGAACAGGATTTTTCTCATTCCTCCCTGTTTCCTAATGTCAAGATGACATATAAAGGTTTAAAATACCATATGGCTAAAGATATGATCAAGCAGTTAAAAGTTCATTTCCAGGACCAAGGTCTAAAATATTGAGAGGGATAAAGACAGGGTCAAGCAGTTAAGACATATCCCTGCCCAGAATCAAGGTGAGGTTTTTGACAACATTCTGTGATTTCTGTTAAAAATAAATACATGAAGACTAAAGGATTTACCATTCTAAGAACATGCACATATCTAAAGACACACTGACATAACAAAATAAAAATTAACAAAAATCATTAAACGTTTCCAATCATGACTATTTTTCTTTTCAAAGCATTCATTCCTATAACCCAGATGTTGAGGCTGATAAAGGCTTACCTACAGTTTTTCTGTATCATGATCTGCTTCATATAACAAAAAGCGAGCATGTAGTTCTGAAGTCAGAGAAATCAATACTTCCCAGTTGGTGGTATCATTCGAGATGATTAAGGAAATGATGCCCTGCTGGAGGTAATATGTCACTGGGGGTATGGTTTTATAATTGACATCTGCATACCATTTCCAGTTCCCACTGTCTGGTTCATTCTGCAGGTTGAGGATGTGAGATCTTAGCATCCTGCTATATCTGCCATGTCTGACACCTGTTGCCTTGCTGTTTTCATGGTGATCCTGTAACCCTCTGGAACCAAGAGTCAGATTAAATTCTTTCATGAGGTGATGTAGACATTATGTTATATCACAACAGAAAAGGCACATATAAATATCCATAAAGTTCTATATCTGAATTAGTGATTTCATGTCATTGAAGAGGAAATCTAAAAGGGTTACTTTATCATTTAAATTTGTAGGATTTTGTCCATATGAGTTTCAAGTGCAAACAAAATAAAGATGGGCATTATACTGCTTAAACAGATAGTTGACACAGTGAAACTATTTTCTCCGGAATGCTCTTGTGTAGCTAAAACGTGTTACCTAGAGATCCTTTATAGCCAGACTTTCTTCTGTACAAGTTTTTTCGGTTCGTCAAAAACTATTGTGATATGAACAGACTTTAACAGAATGATCGAACACTAAAAGTTTTACTCTTGTATACCACCACAAAGTGTAAAACCTTACCACACTGACTACATTTATAGTTTCTCTGCAGTATGATTTTTTATCATAATTTCAAAGACTACAATGATGTACAAAGGCTTTACAACATTACTTTCATAGAGTTCCTCTCCAATACGTGTTCTTTTATGCATTAAGAGAATACTGTGATGTGAAAGGCTTTATCACTTTGACTACATTCATACGGTTTCTGTCCTGTATGTGTTATTTTGTGTGTTTGGAGAATACTGTCCTGTGTAAAGCCTTTGGCACATTGATTACATTCATAGTGTTTCTCCCCAGTAAGGGTAATGTTAAGAATTTGGATATAACTCTGTTGTAAAAAGGCTTTCCCACATTCATTCCATTCATAAGGTTTCTCTACATTATGGATTCTTTCATGCCTTTTAAGATGATTATGATATACATAGACTTTAACACCTCGAGAATATTCAGGTTTCTCTCCAGTATGACTTCTTTCATGCCTGCAATGATAATTGGCACAGTACTAAAATTTTAACACATCCATTCCACTGTTGAATATAACTGTATGAATTAATTTTACAATTTGGTCTAATTATAAAGAATAATCAGATCTTAAGGTTTTATCACTGTTTACCCTCATGCTGTTCCCCTTCATTAAGGTTGGTTTGGATCTTTGAATATACCTGTGATGGTTCACATTTATTGCACTCTTTTTTTAGGACTTAAATTTTATTACAAAATCAATGGAATTTATCTTGTATTAAATAAAACATTTCAACAATTCCCAAAGTGGCCTTAAAAATTCTTCTGCCACTTTGTATTGCATGTTTATAACAAATGAAAATTAAGAGTTGATGATTAGAAAATCAAAATATTGACTAACTGAAAAATTCTACTCTTTGTTCTAATATATCTAATACTCATATAGCATCTTTTTTATATATGAGAGTTTTCCACATGTTTGAAGAGAACAGAAAAAACTCATATATTTTACTATAGTATGAGTCATACTACATTTGTAAAATGAACCAGGACAAAAGTATATACATATTCCTAGTACGATTGGATTTTTCTGAAATGTGAGTTTGTTGATATATTGCCAATGAAGCTGGAAAAGCAATTACTTATAACTTGCATCACATTCAACAAATCTATTCAAAGTGGGGGCTGCTACATATCTTCTAATTGTTCTGAGAGAGAGAGAGAGAGAGCAGGCTATGCTGCTTTTTTAGATATCCCTATGTTCTTATGGCTTGTATCAAGAGTGACATATGATATACTTAATAAAGGAAGAGTAACAAATAAAAGGTGTCCACATTACATTTACACCATTTAACTTTCTATTCCTCGTAGACATATGGTATAGATAATAAGGTTTCTCCACAACAGCCATCCTTGTCTCTTGACTCCTCCTCTCACTAAAATTAGCAAAGTCACAAGTATGTGAATAACACAAGCTTTACTATGAACTATTTGCTTATTAGAGGATTTTGGACATGTATTTTTGACTTATTCAATGAGCATACCTTATGTAACATGAGTGGTATGAAACTAAATGGATTGGCAGGTACACAGCAGAGCTATCATGAGGCCATGGTTGAAATGGTGGTATCTATTAAGGCATGGTTTCCTTGTCTGTTCTCTTAAATTTATGCCTTGTGAACACAATTCACCTAATTGACACTGAGGTAAATGGTTTTTTGAGAATTTAATAATCATCAATGCACTTTAATTATACTGTTGCTTTCTTTAAAACTTACAGACACCTTAAAATTGGTTCTGAGGCATATCTGGAGAGAAGTTTAAGGAGTGTTTGGATAAATTCCTAAGGATGAATTTCAGTAAGGGTTGTCCTCCTGTCTTCAATACATTGAGGTCTTTATACCGAGATAAGGAGAAGGTGGCAATTGTAGAAGAACTAGTAGTTGGTTATGAAACCTCTCTAAAAAGTTGTCGCTTATTTAACCCCAATGATGATGGAAAGGAGGAGCCACCCACCACATTACTTTGGGTCCAATACTATTTGGCACAACATTATGATAAGATTGGTCAGCCATCTATTGCTCTGGAATACATAAATACTGCTATTGAAAGTACACCAACATTAATAGAACACTTTCTTGTAAAAGCTAAAATCTATAAGCATGCTGGGAACATTAAAGAAGCTGCCAGGTGGATGGATGAAGCCCAGGCCCTGGAGAGCAGACAGATTTATTAATTCCAAGTGTGCAAAATACATATTAAAAGCCCATCTGATTAAAGAGGCTGAAGAAATGTGCTCCAAGTTTACAAGGGATGGGACATCCGCAGTAGAGAACCGGAATGAGATGCAGCGCATGTGGTTCCAGACGGAGTGTGCCCAGGCATACAAAGCGATAAACAGATTTGGTGACGCACTCAAGAAATGTCATGAAATTGAGAGACATTTTATAGAAATCACCGATAACCAGTTTGACTTTCATACATACGGTATGAGGAAGATCACCCTTAGATCAATGTGGACTTACTAAAGCTAAAAGATGTGCTTCAGCATCATACGTTTTGCAGCCAGAATTGCCATCGAGATCTATTTGAAGCTTCATGACAACCCTCTTACAGATGAGAATAAAGAACACGAGGCTGATACACCTAATATGTTAGAACAGCTAAACATCTATGAGGAAGCCTGGACTAAATACCCCAGGGGACTGGTTCCAAGAAGGCTGCCACCAGACTGATGCTGTAACAATAAACAGCACACTTACTGAAAGTAAAACTAAGTATTTATTGTAGAAATTACTCACAAGATACTAAGCAAGTAACCCAGATGAGCCCAGTGGTTTTCCTCGCTGCCAAACCGGAAGCCGAAATCCGAGAAAAGAGACCAAGGCTTCCTGTGTGCTGTCTTTTATGCCTTCCCCGCAAAAGTGGGCCTGGCTAGTGGCATAGTTCACCGCCTATGTATGTATACGTCTTAACATCCATCCGTATACGTCTTTAGTCATGCCTAAAGTGGGTGTGGTTAGCGGTGTGGTAAACCGCCCTTTTATTACCTCATCTGTACAAGCCTCTAGTAAGTCACATGGTTAATGGCGGCATACAGGCTTCCTCCTACAGCTTGTACATTAAAATTACCTTCTGTGTAGCCTAAAATATAGTACCAGAAAATGTCTGATATATTATTGGAAATTGTGCAACATTTATTACTTTCAGTGAACCTTAGAAACATGCCTGATTCATTCACATCATCCTTGCTCAGTTTCAACTGTAATTACAGAAGAGCATCAATAACCAAGAGACAGTTGCCCCCTTATTTTAAAATGTGAAAGAAAATTCATAGTCTTACCTATAGCAGTGAAGTTCCTATAGTCTCCACCATCACATCTTTAAGGAGATTCTTCTGGGAAGGATCCAGCAAAGCCCACTAATCCTGAATGAAGTCAAAATGAACATCTACACAGGTCACCGTGTTCTAAAATATACCATAAATGTATAAAAAGAAAGTTATACTGACAACACAGCTAATGTAACAATCACCAAGTCACTTAAAAAGAAAACTGAATAGGAGGGTCGCCACTGTTGTTTCTGAACTCCTTGAATGGGATATCACCATGTTAAAGTAATGCCTGTTAATAGACATAACTGGTACCTGATGAATCAAGATTTGCAGTTGGCCTCATATTTTTGAAAGCCTCATTCAAGTTGTTCTGAGCATATGGTAACCAACTGGCTAAAGTATAAATATTGAGAAAAGTAAAATGCCCTGACCATAGGGAAAGAACTTCAGTCCACTGAGGCTGGAGACCCCCTCAGCTATGAATAAGTTCATTATTAAAAGTACATCAGAGTCTTCTTTCCACAGAGCCAAATGAACTCACATCCCAGCCTCAACATCCTCAACAGACTATCACACCATATAGCATAAATCATGATTTTATCATTTGTTTGTTCATAATAGTAACAAAAATAAGAAGGCTTAGAAGAAACATTAGATGCTAATTATGAAGATTATTGGACTCTGAGTTATTTTCATTAATGAAATAAGAAAAACCTCTCCCATGGCCAAGAACCACATTCTCCTACTTGACACTGGCCAGGTTAGGATGATGCTATGCAATGATTGGCTTAGCTCAGTGTCCTACAGCTCCAAACCTACTATGACACCATTAACAACATTTTTGTTTGGGGTTGATTGTATTTCCTTTTTTTTTCTGAATGTGTTTTCAACTTGGTACATACAAAACATGGAGAAAATATAAATATCCTGTCATCTGTATTGTCACAATTATTTTGCTTAATAATTGTATGTTTTAGTGCCTGAAATTTATTTTCTATCATTTATTTATTATTAATTTTAATATACAGTGCATGCTTTCTCTTTTCTTGTTGGGGCCCAAAGTTGAAAATTGCTATGTAACTGTTAATAATTCTTATACGTGGTCCCCATTGGCACTGTGTATTGCCTCAAGGGGGTCTTCCTCTAATAAAACTTCCTGTAAGCTCTGTTTGCAGGGAGTGTTTGTCCCTTACCTGCTGTGGTTTGTACCTACCAGCCAAGATACCTCTCACACATTATTATCACTTTGATACCTTTTAATTCTGTTCATTAATTTTATTAAATTTTTTTCACTTATTTTATATACTAAACAGTTTCCCCTCCCTCCTCTTCTCACACTCCCTCCCCTCACCTCCCATGTAGCCCCCATCCACTCCTCCTCCACCCACTTAAAGAAAGGGGCCAGCCTCTCATAGGAATCAACAAACCATGGCATCAAGTTGAGGCAGGACCAAGTTCCTCCCCCTGCATCAAAGCTGGAGGAGGCAAACCATCATGGTTCGTGATCCCACTGCATGGAGCCTCACAAACAGACAAAGCAACACAATTTTCACACATGCAGAGGGTCTAGGTCAGTCCTATGCCTAGCTCTCAGTCCAGGGTCCATGAGTTCCCATGAGCACCGGTGAGCTGTCTCCATGGGTTCCCCTGTTGTGACCTTGATTCTCCTGGGTACTCCTCCATGTCTTCAGCAGGACTCCCAGTGCTTAGCTGTGGATCTCTGCATCTGCTTTCATCAGGTATTGGATGAAGGCTCTCTGATGACAACTAGTCACAGATCTGATTATAGGAGATGGCCATTTCAGGGTACATATCCACTATTATTAAGAATCTTAGCTGGGGTAATCCTTGTGGATTCCTGGGTGTTTCCCTAGCACCAGGTTCCTCCCTATCCCCAAAATGCCCCCTTCTAGATATACCTTTAATTATTCTGCCATTCCTTCCACCCACAACCAAGCCAACAAGACACTACTTGTTGCCATCTTACCCACCCACCCCAACTGCCCCGAGTTTACCCAGAAATTCTCTTCTACTACACCCAGCATAACTTTAGATGATCACAGAAAGAGAAAACAAGATATTTCATAACAAAACCAGATTTAAACAATACCTACCCACAAACTCAGCCATACAGGAAGTGCTAAAAGGAGAACTCCAACCCAAGGAAGTTAGCTGCGCTTACAAAAACACAGGCAATAGATACTATCACATCAGCAAAACAGAAAAAGGAAACACACACAGACACACACACACACACACACACACACACGATCACCACCATGACAAAAATCAAATACCTACAAGAATTATCGATCACTGGGATTAATATCTCTTAATATCAATTCACCAATAAAAAGACACAGACAAACAGAATGGATATGAAAACAGGATCCATTCTTCTGTTGCATACAGGAAACACACATAAACTTGAAAGACAGATATTACCTCTAAATAAAGAGTCAGAAAAAGAATTTCCCATCAAATGGAACTAAGAAGCAAGCCAGTGTAGCTACCTTAATATCTAACAAAATAGGCTTCTAACTAAAACTAATTTAAAGAACTGAAGGACATTTCATATTCAAAGAGGAAATACATCAAAATGAAGTCTCAGTTGTTAACATTTATGCCCCAAATACACACATCAAACTCAAGATACTTAATGGATATTTACAGAAAAGTTCACTCAAAAACAAAAGAATATACCTTCTTCTCATCACATCATGGGATCTTCTCTAAAATTGTCCACTTGGTCACAAAGCAAATCTCAAAAGATAGAAAAAAATTGGAATAACCCCACTAATCTTACCAGATCACAACACAAACTAAAGAAAGCATACAAACACGTGGAAAATGAACAACTATCAACTGAATTACCACTGGGTTAAGGAAGAAATAAAAATAGAAATTAAAGACTTCCTAAAATTCAATGAAAATGAATCCATGGCATATCCAAACTTAGGGAACATTATGAAAGCAGTACTAAGAGGAAAGTTCATAGCACTAGGTGCTTACATAAAGAATTTGGAGAAATCTCACACTAGTGACTTAACAGCACACCTAAAAGCTCTAGAAAAAAAAGAAACAAACTCATCCAGAAGGAGTAGACAGCAGGAAATAATCAAATTCCATGCTGAAATCAGTAAAATAGAAATAAAGAACAATACCATAAATCAGTGATATCAACAAGATATCCAAATCAACTAAAAGGCAGAGAGAAGATATAGAAATTTTAAAAAATTAGAAATAAGAAGGGGATAAAACAACAGACACTGAAGATTAGGTGTTCAAAGCAATTATCAATTACATCTTGTGAAGCAAGCCTGAGCTATAGGAGACATTGATCAAAACCAGTGGTTCTCAACCTTTCTAATTCTGTGACCCTTTAATACATTTCCTCATGATGTGGTAACCCCCAGCCATAAAATTATTTTCAGTGCTACTTAATAACTATTATTTTTCTGTTATTAATTATAATATAAATATCTGTGTTTTCCGGTGATCTTAGGTCACTCCTGTGATAGGGTCATTTGATTCCCCCAAAGGGAGCTGTGACCTCACAGGTTGAGAAGCACTGCTCTAAACTGATACATATAAATAAATAGATAAAGAAATGAATAAGTGGCACTTAAGAAAAAAATGGAATGAAATTCTTAAAGCAGGAAACAATGAAAAAAATTTTAAAGGGATTATGGCAGTAATGCATTTAAAGAAAATGAAATTTTAAAAATGTTATCAATAATTGACTTTTTTAAAGAGATTAAAAAAGATTGAAAGAACACTTACCTATATTGACTTTGAAACAGAGTAGGTATTTTCCTGGTAGGGATAATGACATTAATAAGACATTGTGTGACTTTGTCACATGTAACATGAGTGCTGTAAGCTGATGCATGGAGTTACAGCCAACAGCCTGTGTCTCAAAACTCTGAGTTGACTTAACTATGTCAACCAGAATTGTACATATCTGCATAAGAGAGTTGGCTAATTGAAAATTGAATATTTAGTAGTTCAAGCTATCCTCACTAAACTGTACACCCACCAATTCTGCCTGTCTCCATTCACATAGAAGGAATTAATACAAGCAGGGAAATTATACAGAAAGTCACTCACCCTGCCCCATCAGGCCCTTTTTTATAATGGAGACCACTGCAGCTCACTGCCTTAAACTCCACTCTCTGATATAGTTATTGTCTAGACTGTTTCTCCCTGCAATGTACACAGTGCACTGTTCCTCCTTTTCTGTCTGAAGGGAGAAGTCATGTTCCACACACAATTCCTTTTCCTGTTACTGCAATGGACAGTCAACTATGTTACTCAAACTGGTAATTTTAGAACTCTGTGATGCTATAGACTTGTAATCCAAGAATTTATGGTGTTTAGTCAGGAGGAAAACAAGAGCAATGCCCTGTGTGACCTCAGACAGGGTTCAAGTCCACCTCAATTAATATAGGAGACTTTGTCTCAAAACTAATTTTCAAAAAGACTGGAGAAGCCACTGTTCTAGAATTATTATAAGTTTATTGCACACTGGGACTTAACGTTGGTTGTGACCCTATAATGTCCTCTTGTGCAGCATGTTAGAGGCCTTTGATGGGGAGGTGGTCCTTTTGGCTGGTTGTAAGTCAGGGTTGTCTCTTTTGTTATGGGACTATAAAGGTTACTTAATCCTGGTGAACAAACATTACATCTAAAAAATACTAATCTCTAACAGGTGTGGTTAGCATACTTATCTTTGGGGTATTTGGGATACAACCCTCCCTTACATAAATTCTGCTTTGTGTGACTTAACACCTTCTAAGAATTGGTAAATCCTTAAACTATCAATTCTATTACCATGAATTCTACTCTTCTGCATTACAGGTTAGCAATGGAGATTGTAGCACTAATTATAATTGGTCTTAATAATAAAAACCTAGAGTCAGATATAGGGGTTAATGGTGAAAGATCAGGGAAGCAGAGCAGTCAACCCCTAGTTCTTAACTCTACTGAATCCTCAGAACAAAAGAGCAATCCTGTTCCTATGAATCTTCAGACTGAACACAATGAGCTTCAGTCTCCTCCTGCATTATATTCCTCTCTCCACCCAGCCGTATTACTCCTGTCTCCATCTTCCAAGTACTGGGATTAAAGGTTTGAACCAACATCACCTGGTTCTGTTTCTCTTTTAGACTAGAAAATCTAGTGTAGCCCAGGGTAGCCTTGAACTCACAGAGATTCACCTGCCTCTGCATCCCAAGTGCTGGGATTAAAGGTGTGTGCCACCATGGCCTGGCAGGCTTTATTTGTTAAAGTAAAAACAAAATACTACCACACTTGGAGATACGGTTTACAAGCTCCAAAAAATTAACTTCATCTGGATCCTAAACCTAAATGTTAAATGTTAAAAGTGCAGAACTTCTGGAAGATACTAGAGAGATTAGTACTCTCCGACTTTAGCAAATGTGTGACGATATGAGCACCACAGAGATATCAATAACTAGGATATTTCTAAACACAGTTTCTCTCCCAATCCTCTGCCCGGAAGTGAAGTTATTCAGAGGCTGCCAGCCCGGCTCACAGAGTTGCACGGATCACACAGGACCACGCTGGACCAGGCAGGACCAGGCAAGAATATGGTGAACTCTGTGTCTGGCCTCTGGCTCCCACCCAGCCTAGAGAAAACCAACTACGCCGGCTTCCGAGCCTCAGTCGGACTCTCCACCTACTCTGAGGACAGTAGGCCCTGACTCATCATGGCCAGCCACTCTCCTCACATGGGGGAAGCAGTCCCTCACTCACTTTGGCCCACCGCTCCTCTCAGTTTGTGAAGAGCAGCACCTCACTCACCATAGTGCAGCTGCTGAGATGACCAACGTTCTCCCCAGAACCAAAGGCACAGGAAAGAAGACAACTTCTAATTTCCTGAGGCAAAGAGCTGAGCAGAAATCCTGGCTCCAGGAAGAACCCGCCCATCTGACTGGCGGTTCCGCTAGAGGCTCTGATTGGCTAGTGAGACCTGAGTGACAGGACCAGGTGAGCAGAAGAGGCACAGCATAATGGTTTAACCTGAGCAAAGAATTCCTGGGTGGCCCCAGGGGAACAGAAAACCAGAAGCCAAGAGGTGAATCCAGAGGTGGGGATTTTAATGCCCTCCAGGGGTGAAGCCCTTTTTAAGGTTGGAGTCTGGACTGAGGTGACTCCAGGGGAGGGCCCACCCTTGTCACCTGGAGGCCGGTGTTTGGAACGGGTCTACCAAACATTCCAACTTCTTTGTATAGATACAGGAGCCAGTAGGGCTTCCACCTAAACAACCCAGACTCCTCGGGTATAGGGGCGTCCGTTTAAGTCTGGCTTCCTCCTGCTGACAAGAGACGAATGTGTGCGTGTTGGGGGCGGGGGGAGTCAGGAGTTGGTGGGCTCACATTCAACAGGAGGTATGGGTTAACTGTCATTCTGTACACCTCAGGTATCGAGCTTGAAGAGTCAGAGAAGGCAGATTAGGTTAAGCTTCCACCATAATAGGGAGATGCAGGTAGAGAGAGGCTTGTGTGAGTTCAGATAGTGTTTGGCAGGACCTTTCCAAATCCCATCCTCGGGGTGCCAAGGCGAGCACTCCCCTGGATTCATCTCAGTTCAGACTCCACCTTTAGAAAACCCACCATTCAAGGCTCCACCCCTGGGGCATGTTAAAAGCCCCCATCCTAACTGGGTGTTTGGCACCTCGTGGTTTGCAGGTATCTCACACCAGCAGTGGCTGCACAGGCTCAGAAGACACTGCAAGATCCAGGCGCCTTGTGCATGGATGCTAAGTGAGGCCGCCAATCCATGGCCAGAGCCATGCCATGGCCTGCCCAGCACACACACTCTGAAAGGGTGGCTGCGAACTACAGGTTCCAGAAAGCATCTGGGCAGAGCCCAGGTGGCTTTGCTAAGTGATGGTGCCTAAACCACACCCAGGATGACTACAGGTGCTAGTGCCGGCCAGTGTTCACAAATACAGCCAAAAATCTGACAATTTATCATATGCTGAGGATTCAGTTTATAACATGTGAGCCCACCTAAAGTTTCCAAGCACAGCCGAAGAGCATTACACAGAGGCAGGAGAATCCAAACGCCCCCAGGTGCACCTGCCCCCAAACATTTTTCCCCTCACCCCCACCCAGAGCTACCTCTCCCGCTGGATTAAAATGAGACTAGGAAATGAGGGGTGCTTCGTTCCCGACCCAGCACAGAATTCCTGTTCTTACCTGGACTCCTTGACCTCTCCATTTCATCCGATTCAATGGAGTCCAGCCCTCCAGCTCTGGGAGAAGTGTTTCCCTTGTGTTGTGGTTTCTGATCTATTTTCTTGCTTCCTTCTGCCAGCCACCCAGTCTCTCCTGCCCTAAAAAGCAAACTCTTTGATTTCAGCACTGTGGAGACAGATGCAGGTGGATCTCTGAGTTGGAGGACGGCAAATGATACAAAGAGAAACCATGTCTCAAAAATTATACATATATATAATATTTATTAAAAATTATGTGTATATATGTACATGCATATGCAAGTGCCCGTGGAGATCAGGAGAAATTATCACCTTTAGGAGCTGTATATACACATGGTTGAGAGCCATCAGGTTTAGTAAAAAGGCTTTCCAACATTCATTCCATCCATTATGGATTCTTTCATGCCTCTTAAGATGATTATGATATACATAGACTTTAACACCTTGAGAATATTCAGGTTTCTCTCCATTATGACAATTTGGTCTAATTATAAAGAAGAATCAGATCTTAAGGTTTTATCACTGTTTACACTCATGCTGTTCCCCTTCATTAAGGTTGGTTTGGAACTTTGATTATACCTGTGATGGTTCACATTTATTGCATCTTTTTTTAGGACTTAAATTTTATTACAAAATCAATGGAATTTAACTTGTATTAAATAAAACATTTCACCAATTCCCAAAGTGGCCTTAAAAATTCTTCTGCGACTTTGTATTGCATGTTTATAACAAATGAAAATTAAGAGTTGATGATTAGAAAATCAAAATATTGACTAAACTGAAAATTTCTAATAATACTCTTTGTTCTAATATATCGAATACTCATATAGCATCTTTTTTACATATGAGATTTTTTTTCACATGTTTGAAGAGAACAGAAAAAACTCATATATTTTACTATAGTATGAGTCATACTACATTTGTAAAGTGAACCAGGACAAACAGAAATATATACATATTCCTAGTACAATAGGGCTTTTCTGAAGTATGAGTTTGAGTTTGTTGATATATTTCCAATGAAGCTGGAAAAGCAATTACTTATAACTTGCATCACATTCAACAAATCTATTCAAAATGGGGGCTGCTAAATATCTTCTAATTGTTCTGAGAGAGAGAGAGAGAGAGAGAGAGAGAGAGAGAGAGAGAGAGAGAGAGAGAGGGCTATGTTGCTTTTTTAGATATCCCTATGTTCTTAGGGCTTGTATCAAGAGTGACATATGATATACTTAATAAAGGAAGAGTGACAAATAAACATTCACACCATTTAACTTTCTATTCCTCGTAGACATATGGTATAGTCAATAAGGTTTCTAGACAACAGCCACCCTTGGCTCTTGACACCTCCTCTCACTAAAATTCGAAAAATCACAAGTATGTGAATAACACAAGCTTTACTATGAACTATTTGCTTTTTAGAGGGTTTTGAACATGTATTTATGACTTATTCAATGAGCATACCTTATGCAATATGAGTGGTACCTCTCACACAGTATTATAACTTTGATGCGTTTTCATTTTGTTCTTTAGTTTTTATTAAATTTTTATGATTTATTTTATATACTGACCAGTTTCCCCTCCCTCTTCTTCTCACATTCCCTCCCCTCACCTCCCTTGTATCCCCCATATTCCTCCTCCATCCACTTAAAGAAAGGGGCAGGCCTCCCTTGGGAGTCAACAAACCATGGCATCAAGTTGAGGAAGGACCAAGTTCCTCCCCCTTCATCAAAGCTGGAGGAGGCAAATCAGCATGATTTCTGATCCCACTGCATGGAGTCCCACAAACAGACCAAGCTACACAATTTTTACACACATGTAGAGGGCCTAGGTCGGTCCCACGCCTAGCTCTCAGTCCAGGGTCCGTGAGCGTTCACGAGCTCAGAGCAGCTATCTCTGAAGGTTTCCCTGTTGTGACCTTGATTCTCCTGGCTCTGCCTCCATGTCTTCAGCAGGACTCCCAGAGCTCAACCCAGTGCTTAGCTGTGGATCTCTGCATCTGCTTTCATCAGATATTGGATGAAGGCTCTCTGATGACAACTAGGGTAGTCACCAATCTGATTATACGAGATGGCAGTTCAGGATACATATCCACTATTGCTAGGAATCTTAGCTGGGGTAATCCTTGTGGATTTCTGGGTGTGGAATCCCAGGTTCCTCCCTAACTCCAAAATGCCCCCCATCTAGATATATCTTTAATTACTCTGCCATTCCTTCCACCCCCAACCATGCCAACAAGACACTACTTGTTGCCATCTTACCCACCCACCCCCACTGTCCCCAGTTTAACCAGGAGTTCTCTTCTACTACACCCAGCATAACTTTAGATGACCATAAAAAGAGAAAACAAGATATTTCATGACAAAACCAGATTTAAACAATACCTACCCACAAACCCAGTCATACAGGAAGTGCAAAAAGGAGAACTCCAACCCAAGGAAGTTAGCTGTGCTTACAAAAACACAGGCAATAGATACTATCACAACAGCAAAACACACACACACACCATTACCGCCATGACAAAAATAAAAAATCAACAAGAATTAACAATATCTCTTAATATCAATTCACCAATAAAAAGACACAGACAAACAGAATGACAGAATGGATATGAAAACATGATCCATCCATGTGTTGCATACAGAAAACACAGATGAACTTGAAAGACAGACATTACCTCAAAATGATGAATCAGAAAAATATTTTCACATCAAATGGACCTGAGAAGCAAGCCAGTGTAGCTACCCTACTATCTAACAAAATAGGCTTCAAGCTAAAAATAATCAAAAGAGATGGAGAAGGAAATTTCTTATTCATAGGAAAAATCCATCAAAATGAAGTCTCAATTTTTAACATTTATGCCCCAAATACAAGGGCACCCACATTTGTAAAAGAAATATTACTAAAGATTAAATCACACATCAAAATAGTGGGAGACTTCAACATCCCACTCTCACCATGGACAGGTCTGCTAAACAGAAGTTTAACAGAGAAATAACGGAAATAGATGTTATGACTCAAACAGACTTAACGGATATCTACAGAAAAGTTCACCCCAACATGAAATACCTTCTCAGTATATTATGGAACTTTCTCTACAATTGTTCACATACTCTGTCACAAAGCAAATCTCAACAGACACCAAAAAAAAAAAGGAGTAACACCATTAATCTTCCCAGATCACAACACAAACTACAGAAAACCTAACCTACAAATTCATGAAAAACAAACAACTCTCAACTGAATTACCACTGAGTCAAGGAAGAAATAAAATTAGAAATTAAACACTTCATAAAATTCAATGAAAATGAATCCATGGCATATACAGTGTGAAGAAGAAAGTTCACAGCACTAAGTGCTTACATAAAGAATTTGGAGAATTCTCACACTAGTGACTTAACAGCGCACCTAAAAGCTCTGGAAAAAAAGAAACAAACTCACCCAGGAGGAGTAGACAACAGGAAATAATCAAACTCCAGGCTGAAATAAGTAAAATAGAAACAACAATATGAAGAATCAGTGATATCAACAAGATATCCAAACCAACTAAAAGGCAGAAAGAGAATATTCAAATTAACAAAATTAGAAATAAAAAGTGGAGCATAACAACAGATACTAAGGAAATCAGGACAATCTTTAGGTCATGCTTCAAAAATGGACAATTATCTTGATAGTTACCACATACCAAAATTAAATCTAGACTAAATA